AAAATAGTATAATAATATATTAATTGCAGTAGTAAACACATATTTCATCGGTGTTTCTCGTCGACATATATATAACAAATGTCCAAATTTTTATTCATTGACCTATGACATATAAAATTATAAAATAGAAAAGTCAGTGAATAAAAATTGAAACATGTACAGAAATTCGGACATTTATACTACAATCGAACAAGCACGGCTCTTTTCGCGTGAGCGTGGACGCGTGAAAGCGGTTAATAAACCGCCTTATTATAGCCCTGCCGTGAATTTTTGGTGTTAATAAAAAACTACACATTAATTGCGTCAGTAAATATATTCACAGGTATTTTTCATCGATGTGTCTAGTAAATATCCTAATTTCTGTTCATGCCAGAAATTATATTCACTGACTTTTCTTTCCTATAATTACATATGTAATCTTAAACTACTGAACAGAAATTGGAACGTTTACTACAATCGGACAAGATTTAACAAACTGTTTGCCACATGAGGGCAGTTAACAGTCGTACTATGGCTTTCTGGTGTTACTAGAAGACAAGACATTAATTGTTTCAGTAAATATATATTTCACAGGTGTTTCCTCATCGAGGTAGGTATAATCGGACAAAATTTATGCGGCTGTTTTCGCGTGTGCGTCGACGCGTGAGGGCGGTTAATAGTATTAGCGACTGCGCAATTAGTCGGAGTACTTCCACAAAGAGACAACGTTGTCAAGAAAAACTCCTTTCTCCTCTTCTCCCATCTTTATTTCGTTCCCCCCTTATTATCCCCCCTCTTGTGCCTTGCTCATGCTCTCATTGCTCTCTACAGTGGCCCCACAAATGGTAACTCCCTACTGCTCTCCCTAAAATCGCGCAAATCCTTCGATAGCCTCGATATCGCAACGCTTCTGCTGCTCCACAGATGAGAGACAAGTGTTGGGCACTAGGTCTCTCAAAAGCACATGCGCTAATGACGTCACAGTTAGAGATATCACGTGCCAACAGTACCGTGCAATGTTCAATTCTTAACAGAATCGACGCTTAAAGGGGCCCGCATTTGTTTATTTAACGCCTTCATGCCGACGCATAAGGCATAAGTACTATGGTGATATAAAGATAAAGCTAATCTACAATACCTAATGGCTTGTACATACTAATTTTCTGAAAAAAATACATTTTTAATCTAATGAGATGACTACTTTCATTAATTTTTTCCACGCATTTTC